GGACGCGGCAGTGACCACGTGCCACACGTGGGACCAGCGAGGCCAGAGGAGAGAATGGTTGGAGGTTTCTGGGGATGGTTTACCTGGTTTTTCTGGGAGAGGCCTTTAGCAGTCTTCTCTTACCCCCTGTAAGTGGGCCTCTAAATAGCCTAAAACCTTCAGGATTAAGCCGACAATGAACGTCAAGAGTGAGCCCACAGAAAGCACCCTGGTCCCTTGTGGTATTAGTGACCTTTTGCCAGAGTCCCTCGGAAGCCGGCCCCGCCTGTGGGCTTCCGGTGAGGTGAGCCCGGACGTGTTCTTAATGTTTAAGCAATTTGAATTGAGGTTTCCTGTTCATCGTAGACAAAAGCGTCCTTAGTGCCAAGGTCCTCTTACCATTGTGGTTGTTACATTATCATGTTATTTTTTTCAGACTTATCACCTAGAAAAAATAGGCAAAATTATATATGTGCCATGATTGCCATCACAAGATAGTTCATTTCTTTTATTTCGTTTTATTTTTTTAGTGTTTATTTTTGAGAGAGTGTGAATAGGGGAGGGGCAGAGAGAGGGAGGAACAGAGACTCTGAAGCAGGCTCTGTGCTGACAGCGGCGAGCCCGACATGGCACTTGAACTCACGAACTGTAGTTGGACACTCCACCAACTGAGCCACCCAGGCACCCGTCATCATAAGATAGTTCAGATAGGAAGATGTGCTGAAATTAGTGATGATTGCCTGTAGATGGACTTTTTTCCTGCTTCTATGAACTTGTACTTTAGTTTACATGTTTTCTACAGTGACCCTGTGTGACACATCAGGAAAGAAACGCACAGGAAGTAAGACTAGAAGACAGAATGGTTGGGAAGGTTTGGGAATATTAACCAATTTTTTTTCCTTTTCTCTATTTTCCGATTTTTGTATAATATGCCTATTATATTACTTTGTCATTTAAAAATGTGTTTTTTAGGGGCACCTGGGTGGCTCAGTTGGTTGGGCGTCTGACTCTTGGTTTCGGCTCAGGGCATGATCTCACAGTTCGGTCGGGCTCTGTGCTGACTGCTCAGAGTCTGCTTGGGACTCTGTCTCCCTCTCTGTCTCTCTGCCCCTCCCCCCACTCCCACACACACTCTCTCTCAAAATAAACTTAAAAAAATGATAAAATAAAAATGGTTTTTAGTTCCTTCACTGGAACTCGAAAAGAGCGGGGGCTTTCTCTCCTGCTTCCAGCATGTTCACACAGGGAGGCAATTTCCAGAGCAGAAGGTAGGGAAGGTGCATCATTCCAGACACAGGGTGCACAGGGGGGTCCGTGGAGCAGCCTCAGGGTCACAGCGGCCCAGGGCGCGACCTCTGAGAGGGGAGCAGGGACCTGCAGGTCTTTTCTTTCAGAGCGTTTCTCTGTAAATCTGTAATTACTATTTACTTGTGCTCTGACCGGAGGGCAGCTGGTCGGCTGCTGAAGGCGCACAGGGGCGGGCCTCTTACTTTGCCGGGTATAAAGCTCCGGGTGCTCAAGGACAGGTGCTTGTTGAGGAGTGAACGAAGGTGAGAACAGAATCAGCCCTCTGGTATTGCTCTGGGGGTAGAAATACTTTGGGGTATAAATATTTCCAGTTACAGGGACAGGCTAACTAGCATCAAAGCCCTTATCTCTCTCCTGGTGGTTATGGTCTTAGGAATAACATTTTGAGAGGAAAACAGAAACACTAGAGAAAGGATTTTAGGTCTGGAGCCTGGAATCTGCATTTTTTCTTTTTTTTTTAATTTTTGTTACGTTTATTTTTGAGACAGAGAAACAGAGCATGAGTGGGGAGGGGCAGGGAGAGAGGGAGACACAGAATCCAAAGCAGGCTCCAGGTTCCCAGCTGTCAGCACAGAGCCCAACGTGGGGCTTGAACCCACGAACCGCGAGATCATGACCTGAGCCGAAATCGAACGCTCAACCTACTGAGCCACTCAGGCGCCCCTTTTCTTTTTTTTAAGTAAGCTCTACACCCGGTGTGGAGCTCAAACTCACGACCCTGAGAGCAGACGTTGCAGGCTCCCCCAACTCGGCCAGCAGGGCACCCATCCCCCCCCCCCACCCCCCCTGACTCTGCCTTTTCTAACAAGTGCTCCAGATGGCCACGGATCAGGTGCTGTGGGGCCCACACTGGAAAGCGCGCCCTGGAACATCCTGGAGTCTGAGGACCAACCTCATTCCCAGTCACCGGCTCTCAAGAAAACCATGCACATGTCCCTGTGCGTGTTTAATGTGAGTCAGTCTTTATTTTGCACTTGTGTGGTGCATTAACAAAGTCCACGTACAAGATAGCGTTACACATTGTAGGTTAGCATTACAGCATTATGCAGTTTCACACAACTCATGTTAGCTTTTTTCCGTTTTTTCTTTTTTTTTTTTTTTAATTTGACACATTTATTTTGAGTTTCATTTTTACAAGAGAAGACACAAGGTAAAGAAAGACGACCACATCGGAGAAGGATCATGGTGAGGGCAATGTCACTGTCGTGGCCATAATAAAAGCCTTCCAAGAAAAAGGACTCGTACCGTTCCCTCTCCTGAGCAAGCCGCTCCTGTCCCACAAACCAGTTCTCTCTGTTTTCATATCTAGAGCATGTTCATGGACACGTACCTCGTGGCTGTGCTCCACCGAGAAGAACCGAACGGAGGAATAACTCATAGAGGGACTTTTGTTATTACGAAAAACTCTTGTCTTCCCAAAGGAATCAAGATTATCAGCAGAGAAGGACTGACTCTTGGAAAATCAGAAGTGACCGTTCCCTAACCCGTTCCCGACCATGAGTGCCTTGTGCAAAAGCTAGGGTGCGACTCTCTTGTCTTTCAACTGACTCCGAGGAGGACACTAGTCCTCCGCCCTTTCAGGTGGCTCTGGGAGGGACACGGGTGAAAGCCGAAGGCAGCTAGGAAACTTTGGGACAGCAAAGCCAAGGGCATGATGGTTCAGGCGTGAGGTAGGAGGGAGGGGCCCTGTGCTGTCTGCCTCCTTGGAGGTCACTCCTGGCTCCAGAACTACGGTCCCCGCCCTGTCACCTCACCGCCCACTGCTCAACAGCCCAGAAGAAGGAGGGAGGAAAGCCGCCTGGAGGCGGGGGGCGGGGGGGAGACTGGGAGAGGGGGCCGCAGGAGGGGCTACAGGCACTCAGCGGGGCAAACACCAGACTGTCTCGCCTGTTGCTTTGCACTGTTTCTGGGAAGGACACGAGCGGGGTGCTCAGCGGTTTCTGATCTTCAGACATTAAGGCGATGAAGAGGAAGCAGGTTTTTTCCTAAGGGGGCTTCAGGACGCTCCTGTCCGATTTACATTAAACTATCTCAAAATGCATTTTTAGAAAACAAAAATTATTTTCTTCTACGTATGATACAGTATTTACATTCCATGGAGTATAGGCTGGAGACCAGTGGGGACACCGCCGGGCCGGGGAGTCAGACGAGGGCGGGGGCCGGCGGTGTGGGCTCCGGGCCTGCTCAGCACTGCTCCGCACTGTCAAGAATCCAGGCTTCAGAAAGAACAGCTAAAGGGATTCAGGGGGAGCAGACTGGTTTTAAATCCGCAAGAGCTCGGGGAACGTCAAAGGCAATATCGCCGCCCTGTCTGGACACCCGGCCTCCTCGGAGGCCAGAGGGAAGGACGGCTCTTGTCCGGTGTGGCCCTGCCTTGGCGGCCCCTTCGGGCCTTGGTTCCGGCTGCTGCTCGCGTGAGCCCCCGCGCAGGCCAGAGGAAAGGCCTGCAGCCAGCGGACCAGGTGTCTGCCCTCTGGGAGGCCTTGGCCTCAGAGCCACGGCCCGCCCGCCCGGAGTCAGGAGGCCTGAAGTTGAATCCCTCGCACCCTGGGCTGCCCCCATCCCATCCCTCCACCTGGTCTCGACCCCTGGAGCCTGAGAACCACGAGGGACGGGATGTTATAGAAGATTCCAGGTTACCTTGATCACTCCTTAACTCAACGTTTACTTATTTCGTTATTTTTAAGAGCCGCGATTGAAAAATTTAAGGATACAGACTAGTTTCTGCAGGCCCTTTTCCTTATGAAGCAAAGCCAACCTCCTCTAAGCTACCTGAGAAGACTGCAGCTTCTCCATGGTGAGCATTTCTGGAAAAAAAAAAAAAGGTCAGTTTCATCCTTCGAACCAACAAATGGCTGTCACTTGCTGGTGTAGCTGCAAGGTGGTGACGGGCACCTCCGTTCTGCCCACGCTCACAAACAGCGTCTGGGACCGGCCGCACGAGCCCACTGGTGCCACCGGAGAGCCAGATCTGAAGTCTTCAAAGCTCCCTCCAGAGCAGTCATCTAGTTCCGTAAACCCGAATTCTACCTAGTGAGTCTGCTGTGTTCGTGTGCTTTGTCACAAATTAATCACAGACTGCCCCTGCCCCTTCCCCGCGGGAACGCTGGCGCAGAGACCCCACGCCTCGGATCCTCTCTCCCCTGCAAACCCTGCCTCGTCCACCCGGCCTGTTTCCTGGCTCACTCTGGACCTCTGGACCTTGGGCTCAGCCAAAGAGCAGGGGTGTCAGAGAACACGGGGAAGATGAAGCCGTGAGGTCTCACCTGCAGAGGTTGGGGGGGAGACGGCGCCTCTCCAGCAAAGCCCGGTAAAAAGAGGCCAATTTCAGGTAATCAGCAAATACAATTCGGCACAAAACACAATTTTCATGGATCAAAATCTGTAACTTGATATTGGCAGTTAGGCTAATTTCTTCAGTTTGTATTAGACATGCAAGTATTAGGTTACATTGTTATATATAGACTGGTGAGGCCTTTCCCTCTCTTTTTCCCCATAAAAAAAAAAAAAAAAAAGAATTTCTAGTGCCTTGCGAAGGAGAAAAATCATCATCACTAAGAACTGATCTGCAGCTGTGGTCACGGGGCGTTCTTCGTGGGGTTTATTTTGTAAGAAATCTTCTTCTACAACTAAAATGAGGTTTTAAGTCTGCTTCTCCCTGGCGTCTCCCCGCCTGCCCTGCCCAGCCCCGGGCTCAGGCGAGGAGCACAGGATTAGTATTCGCTCAGACTGTGCCACTTGGCCACGGGCTTGCGGGGGCTCTCGCACACCTCCCTCCAGTGCTCCGCCCCGCTGGTGGTGATGCTGTGTGCCCCCAGGATCAGCCTCCCCACCGCCTCGTTCTTGGTGGTGCGGTCGAAGTCGATGACCAGGAACTCGATGCTGATGTCAGGCAGCAGGTCAGGGGGGATGTCGTAGACGAAAGACTCGTTGAAGACTGGGTTCAAAGTGCACTTTTTCACATGGGTTTTCTTCTTGGCGATGCGTTTTCTGCCGTAGTAGACGTTCACCTTGACGTAAGGATCTGGGGCCGCCAAAGAGACAAGAAAAGAGGGAGACAGACCCATGACACGGTCCTCCTGCTGGTTTTGTGTTGGCAGGGAGGGGCTCTGACGTTCCTCTCGTTGGTGGCCCCTCACACCAAACCCACTCTGACTTTAGGTGCGTCTGCCTGCCTGGGTAGGGGGGCCACGGGAGCCAAGCAGGAGTGTAACAGAACTTCCTCCAGTCAGGTCTGAAGAAACCCCGTGACACCAGGAGGCGTTTGCAAGGGCGCCGGGACTAACAAAAGCCCGCAGCCTTTTTGAGATGTCTCATCTGGCGCGGGGGCTCAGCACCTGGCACGCACACCCACCCCGGCCCCGACATCCCACCAAACGTCAAGACCCCGTACGCCCACTCAAAGCACCCCCGCCCCCGCCAGGGAGACCTACAACCCAGGCAGTCGCCACGAGGAGAGCGTGGACAGAGGAACAGGGTGCTAGGGGTTCTAAAATGCCGGCGCTGTCAGGGCCCCAGGCTGGGACGCGGTGGTGCTGGGACGGACAGAAGTAGGTTGGAGTAAATAGCTGCTACCTGAGAGACCGGTGATGTCCATTTTCGGCAGGTGTCGGGCTTTGAGGACCACCACTGTCATTCTCTGTGCCACGGGCTGGTATGACAGAGACACCTGGAGCTCCCCTCTGCTAATGCACTTCTGTGGAGAAGGAACAGCAGATGAGGGTCCCGCCACGAGGGACAGAGCCTGGCACAGTGAGTGCGCAGCAGTGACGGGGGAAGGCACAGGGGAGACGGTCGCCCTGTAGGGATGTAGCTACCAAAGTAACGGGGAGAGAAAAACGGAAATACTCTACTTCTAATCCTGATACTAAATAAAATCATCTGCGAGGAGAGGCAGCCTCGACTAGTATTCAAGAGCGCAGACTGTGAGGCCAGGTTGGTCCGGATCCAAGTCCTGCTGCGAATGCTTGTCTGCGTGACCTGGGACAAGAACTGGACGTCTCTGTGTCACCTTCCTCAGCTGAAAGATGAAGATACAAACGGTACTGACCTCAAAGCATTATCAAGACGATTAAATATGTTAAAATTGGTAAACGTTTACCTGTGCCAGTGCCTGGCACACGGGGCGCGAGACAGAAGCACATTGTCTCCGACGGTCTCATTTGGTTCTCGCGCTGAAAGTTTTGGAGACTGTAGACCGGAAGGCAGGAAACTTGGGTTGGAGCCTTAGCTTTGCCATTTACTCACCACCTGGCTTTGGGCAGGCTCCCGCACTTTCCGGTGACTGTTCTTCCATTTCACAAGTTGGATGTCCACACCTGCTCCTCCTGCCTCACCGAAAGCACTTCCGGAGTGCTGGCCCCTCCCCCACTCACGTCTGCGTGTTCCCCTCTTTACATTTTATGCCAGGTTCTACTTTGAGCTTGAAAAAACCCTCCGGTCCTCCAAGGACATTAAAAAATAAATTTTTTTTAACTTTATTTATTTTGAGAGAGACAGCATGAGTGGGGGAGGAGCAGAGAGAGAGAGAGCAGGGGAGGGGCAGAGAGAGAGGTGACAGAGAATTCCAAGCACGCTCTGCTCTGTTGGCGCAGAGCCTGATGTGGGGCTTGAACTCACAAACCATGAGATCATGAGTTGAGCCAAAACCAAGAGCTGGACACTTAATCAACTGAGCCATTCAGGCACCCCTCTAAGGACACTTGAAACAATATTTGGATACTTACTACAAGCTGGGTGCTGGGGATCTGGAGCAAATAGGACCCAAATCCTTATTTTTTTCTTTCTTTCTTTTTCATTTCCCCACATTTTTCTTTTCTTTCTAGTCTCTATGCCCAAGGTGGGGCTTGAACTCACAACCCCGAGATCAAGAGTTGCATGTTCCACGGACAGAGCCAGCCGGGCGCCCAGGATCTGGTTCTTGCTCCCAGGGAGCTTACCATGTCCAGAGAGACAGGCGCAAACAAACACGCCCTCCTCGGGGCTGTCAGGACCTGTCCCAGTGCTGCTGGGGGACCCCCGGGAGGGGGGTTTGCCACACAACCTCCGGGCTGAGTTTATGACAGTGAGTCCGTGGGAAGACTGGTCAGGACAAACGGCAGGAATGGCCGCTATGAAGGCACTGGGTCCTGAGAGGGTCCCCTGTGTTCCCAGAGTTGGGGGGAGGTGCCGGGAGGAGGGAACCTGGGGGGTGGGTCAGGCGAGGGCCTTGGAACCAAACAGCAGACTCAGCCGCAGCACACAGGCCAAGGGCAGCCACCAGCACAGGGGCGACAGGCGTTGCCGCCGTCGACGATTTATGAAGGCCGCTACTGTTCTAGTGGAGGCCGGACAACTGATGGACGGACAGACGGACGGACAGACAGACAGAGCAGAGGCGGCCCTGAGGCTGAGGAGGGGACACTGAGGCCGGGACCCGGGGATGGGTGTGGGGCAAGAAGTGTCAGGAAGAACTGACGAAAGTGGAAGTGGGAGGGGAGAGTGGAGGGCAATTTCTTGTTTCTTAGCTCATTTTTAAAATTATGATCAAAAAAAATTTTTTTTCTCGTTAAAAATCTTTAAAAATTTTAATGTGGATCTACCTTTTTATGAAGTGAGGATGGGGCTGGGAGAAAGGAAACAAAAAGGAGGTGGGGCTCAAGGAACACTGGACATAATAAGGTAAATTTGGGACAAAAACCACTCCCTTGCTACCAAGTCTCATTCCTATGTCCTTCAAAGCCCTCAAGAAATGTCACCTACTCCAGGAGTTCGTAGACTGCGCAAAACCGGGCTACACTCACCACCAGCCCTACCCGTGCCACACGCTCCCGACAACAGCGTTCTGTGCACCTGCTTGGTGAAGGCGCGATGCTAGCGGCTGGGGCCGGACGGGGGGCGGCAGGAAGCCCTATCTGGAGAAGCTCGCAGACTTCTGCGCTACCTGCTCAGGGTGCCTGTGCAGAAAAGAACAGCAGCGAGTAATTTAATTAGCTCGTCAGTGGAAAACGAGGGAAGACACCTAAAAATCTGTGCTTTGATTAGAAGCCTAACTCCCCTCAAGGAATGAAACCGAGTAATAGCTCGCCTGGTTCACAAACTTTCCTGAGGCTACATTTCATTCCAGGAACGTATGCAAAGGTCCGTGGTAGGGCATCACAGGACTAAGATTTAAACTCACCCGCTAGCTTTTGAAACCAAAGTCCAAAAGCGAACAGACTTACAAAAGATTTTCACGGCTTTTCTCTGCTAGACTGAAGCCCCACGGTTTTTCCTTTCCCAGAACATACATGTTGTCAGCTCTCGATTATGTCCGCGGAAGTACCCTCGGCCAGCTTAGGATCACAGGCTGGTTGTCCCTGCCAACCAGTATACTTCTGGGCTGCTTCCTTTTGACGTGAGTCAGAACGCAATCAGAGAACGTAAACTCATTTTTACTATTAGGTACGGCCAAATGGCATCAGGAAAGTCATCCCACGCGATAAGGGAAATTAAGCGCCTTCCAGAGGAACATTCAGAACTGAGCTTTCCGATACGGTAGCCACTTGCTCCAAGTGTCCGATTAAATTTAATTTTAAATTAGTTAAAATTAAGTAAGATTAAAATTTTAGTTCCTGAGTCACACTAGCCATATTTCAAGTGTCCCAGCGCACGTACAGAACATTTGCACCGTCACGGAGAGTTCCGGCAGGGAGCACTGATCTAGAAGGAACTTCTGGGTGATCTGGGCCACCACTTCATTCCCCAAGCCCTGAAGAAATGTTAACTAGATTTGAGGTCTGGAACATCCTTGAATACTGGCACTAAACACGAAATATGCACACACAATCTTTTTTTTTTTTTTTTAATTTTTTTTTAAGTGTTATTTTTGAGAGAGGTAGAGCATGGGTGGGGGAGGGGCAGAGAGAGGGAGACGGAATCCCAAGCAGGCTCCAGGCTCCGAGCTGTCAGCACAGAGCCCGACGCGGGGCCTGAACTCACCAACTGTGAGACCATGACCTGAGCCGAAGTCAGACGCTTAACTGACGGAGC